TGGCCAGGTCCCTCTGTAGGGCCTTCCTACGCTCCAGCAGATCAACACTTCCACCCAACTTGGTGTCATCTGCAAACTTACTGAGGCTGCACTCCATCCCCTCGTCCAGATCATCGATAAAGATACGGAACAGAACCAGCCCCAGTACTGAGCCCCAGGGAGCACCACTCGTGACCAGAATACGATCTTGTGCGGTAAATCCCCAAAGGGGTTTGGGATGGGACAAAAATGGCGACGATGACATTTTTCAGACCCCCCCTAATTCAGATTGATTGCCAGCAGCTCCAATCCTGCCGCAGGCACCTCAAGCCCTACGCCGCAGCGGGTCTGCGGCAACCAACCAGGGGCACCAAAGTCCCCAAAACCACTCCAGACACATCGCTACGGTGAACGCATGACTTCATCCCGAGGCTGCAAGTCTTTGGATTCAGCAGAGTTATTTCTGCCTAATGCAGGAACTATCAGAAATAAACATCTGGAGAAGCCCAGAGGGAAAAGTCTAAATCACTAAACTGAAACATACCCTCCCCACAAAAACCGTCAAGCGGTGTGACAGCCGCGCCACACCCGCTCCTCCCTAAACTAGACTCGGGTGGGTTTGGGATTTTTTTGGCTCAAAGGCATTATTAACTATTTGATTACGGTCTGGTAGCTGTAATTTGGGGCCATCCAGCTGCAAGGAGCCTCCAACCGATGATGAAAAGCAGCTGCCGTAACAGTGTGTCCCCCCTCACCATCCCCCGAGGACCGAAGCTGGCTCTCACGTGCCGGACAGCTGGAAACTCTTACACAGATATGCCGTGAGAAAGTACTTCTCAGTTCCTCGGTTCCCCGTGCAGCGCCATTCCACGGATTGCAAGGGGATAAAGTTCTTCCGTCATGGGATTCATTCAAGCAAGGCAGCTGTATTTCAGGGACTGTCAGCAAGCAGCCACATTGCTTAAATTACATTCTTGAAAACCTGACCAGACCGAGACATTCCAACCCCAAATTCAGTCCCCACAGGAGGCACATCCCCATTCAAACCGGTGCTCAGGGTACCATTCAAACCCTCCTCAATGACCAGCTCTAAAGCGGGAGGGAAAAATGTAGCTAATACTATTACAGACACCCTAAGGAATCCAGCTCCCTCTAAAGCAGACGTTACAACGCTCCCAAAACCATCCCCTGGCTACTCACTGGCCGCACCTTCCAGGGAAATTACAGCTCTTCGAAATGAGGGACAATATTGTCCCTCCGTTATTTAAAGAGTTCAAAACTAAGGTCAGGATGAAGATTTAGGAAATCATCTGGGTGGGGAGAGGGATAAAGTTGCGGTGTTATAAACGTTTCCTGTTGTAATAATGCCTCCGAAGAATATCTGTGTAGAGCGCTGCAAAAAAGTCACCGGACACCACTGTTAATGAAACTCTTCCATGCTCTTGGCATCTGCCCACCTTCTCCCCAGAATCCCCGTCTGCTCCCCGCAGGCCCCTCTCCACGCGCCGGTTAGGTCTCGTCAGCCGCATTTTTATTACTTCTAAACTGTTGAAGCTTTTGACGTTTTCTCTGGAGTCAGGCGCTCCAGACCGAAAAGCTCCTGTGTCCAAAGAGGCACTTCAGAATACGGCGAGTCTCCAGAGGAACCTGAAGTTCCTCAAGATACTCCTCCAAACTCACCGCCAGCACGAATCCCCCAGCGCCACGGGACGCTGCGAATACCCACGGGAGAGGGGTAACCCCTTCAGAGGAGGGCACCGGTTCCTGCTCCACGCTTCCAGCCGAGGCGAGGACTGGGACAAACCAATACACTGAATATCGACACGTTTCTTCAGGAAGCGTTTCTGCTCACATCATAGCGGGCCCACCCCTGCGGCAGCAAAATGCTTACAAGTCCGTGGCCGGCGGGTGCCAGACACTCCAGCAGACCTGCTGCCTGACAGGAGCGGCAGCAGGATACCAGATTCAAACGCCTGCTGGGATCCAACCCCGGGCAGCCAGGACAGACCTACCGCGCTGGAAAGGCTTCTCCAGAGGCAGAGGAGCGGGCTCTGTATCGGCGCTACTGGATCTGCGGGGCCAGGCAGACGTGAGGTCTGGGTTCCCTCGAGCGCAGGCAGTGGAGGTTATTAGCAGCCACTGCAACGACCAAGGGTTTGTTGGGAGCCTCGCTGTAGGTCCTAGAAAGGCCTCCTTAAGAGAAGGACGTGTTAATACTGCTGCAGAGCTACTGCTGCTCTTGTAATTAAAAAAGCGCATGATTTCAGCCTAAGGTTTTCAACCAGCACCACTAACAAGGTTTCAGTATTTCACTGTTTATGCAGAATTAGACATCATCGTTTCTGCGAGTTTCCTCGCCATTCCCAGTCAAGATGCACAATGGTAAAGAGTTGTGGCTGCTAGAAATACTGTGCGTGGTCATGGGAGGTCCTAATTATTTTCTCTGCAATGCCCAGCAGACTGAAATTTTCTCCAGATGTATAAAAATGGGATTTGAAAGCCTCAGGAGCCATAAGATTACTTCCCCCAAGCCCAGAAGGTTTATATTAAAAATGTCGTTACAAAAAAAAAAGTCAAATCAGATGTATTCAAGATCAAAAACTCTTTGCACCAAGACTGGCTGTATTTTTCAGCTGAGAAATATATAAACCTTTTCTTTTTTTCTCCTGATAAATACCACATGAAAGATTAGCCATTAAAGTCTTTATATTTACAGAAATAACCACGATTCAGATTTGACTGCTTCACTCTAATCATCTCCCCACATCAGTCTCCAACGGGAAAGCAGCCAAAAAACTCCACACGCGCTCCTTGCAGGGCTGAGTCTCACCTAAACCTCTAAGATACGGGGAACAGTTCAGTCTGCATGGCTCCCTGAATAACAAACTGAAATAAAAGCAAGGGTCGTGTTCATCGTCCCCTGGTCATTGTCCTGCTCATACCCCCCTCTTCTGTATATTGGATGTGTTCAGCGTAAAGCATAGATTTAAAAAGAAATCTAAATAAATGGGGCTCATAAAAATGAAGCTGGAGAAATCTGCTGCTTTATGCTTTTTCGCAAAGCCCACCCTAGGTTCCTGCCGGTGTTAAAGCACAAACTCTGTCCCTGCAATCCTCTCGGGGTCTCGGAGATTGAAATATGAGTCAGGCCTCGGACACCGCAGAGCCTCATAAAGCATTGTACTCCACACATTTCGATGGGTCTGTCGGGAAGTGCTTCTGGCAAATGGTCATGAGCCTCTTCAGCCCCTAGGAATTAACAAAACAAGGACAATTCTGTAATAAAACTGCAGCTGTCAAACAAACTTAACCATCGACAGTATTTTCAAGCTTAACAAGAAGAATTCAAAACAAACAGTTGCTATTTTGGGGCTTTTTTTTTTTTATTTGGTTGTTTTTCCAGTTTTTAAGTTTTATGAACCTTTCTGCCTGCAAAGTGCCAAGTTATCTCCAATATTAGAGGAGTCTGTGGCATAATCGAAGAGACTACAGATGCATAGCAAAGGATCACCATAAGGCTTTAATCCCTCTTCCCCACCAAGGGAGAAAACAATACTATCACAATAAAAGATATTTAAAAGAAACCTGAACATTAAAAGTAATTCTATAGTGCAAAAAGCAATTTGTGACACCAAAACAAGCTGCACAGCTACGAAAAGAACCGAACAATTTCCCGCTGTCATTCCTCCCCATGGTGGCACCACACCTGACCTACAGCGCGGAGGCAAACTGAAGAAGGAATCGAGAAGAAAGGCACAATGTCGACTTTTCTCTTCAGCTCTTTCAAGGCATCGATTGCCAAAAAACAACGTGACAGAAACCCTGTGATTATTTTCTTTCAAGTCTCGCATAAAAGTCTAACAAAGAAGAAAGAAGACTGCTGTGGCAGGAATGTAATTTAGCAGTGACATTGTACTCCAAAATGGCCGAATCGTGTGGCTGTCATTAGACACTGACAATAGAAGATGGCTCCTCACTGAAGGGAAAAATGATTCAACAGAGGATGCGTTGGCCTTTTCAGTGCAGGCAAGTCTGGAAAACGTGTCCCAGCACCATAATGACTCCTTGTTTGGGACGTTACGATCCCAGGTTCGTTGTAAATCAGAAACACATTATTAGCTTCACGTAACTGCTGGGAGCACAGATAATATCCCATGCTCCAGTTTGAGCCAGACTAGCTAAACAAGACCTGGTATTTAAAACCAGCATGGAGAACATACGCGTTTAAAGCCAACTCTGTCTTGGCGCTTCAGTAACTTGTGTAATTCAGAAGCACAGATGTGAAATTCACAGTGGGAAGATGAACACAGAGGTTTCCTTGACCAACAGATGTAACCCCAAAAGCAGATAAGGGCCAAACTGAGGAATTCCCATACGTTGTACCTTCCAAAGGGCATGCTAGGAGAAATCAAGCAACACTACAGAGCAGAGATCTTTCTGCTGGAAGAGTGGCAAATGGACACAGATGGCCAATTGTTCACCAAAGTTGGAGAAGCAGCATTATGGCCACATTGAGGCCCACAATGATCTTCCTTCAGAGTCCAAACTCCTTTTTTAACACAGACTAACAACAAAACTGTTTGGTCTAACATAAGCTATTTCATTCATTAAATACTTCCAAGCAAGTATTACGTTAACTGCAGGCTGTCTGTGAAGCTGCATAATCCACATGCCGATTTTCACCTTACAAAAGAATTGGTCAAATTTAATCTGTTGGCTCTGCAAGTGTCTGCAGCTTCCTCTGACTTGACAATATTTTCACAGGTTATCATATTAAAAACTATAGTTGAAGGGAAACCAAAGGCTATACTTGTAGCCCCAATACAAAGAGACCCTAGGCAGAAGGAGAAGTTGCATTTTACAAGCAATCCGCTTGCAGACACCTGCAGAAGTTGAAAAGCAATGGGAATCAATCCTTCTGCCACAGCAGCAAGATCCTGCCAGAAGCTCTGAGCTCCACCATGCTGCTCCGGAGGCTTCAGAGTTAAGGCAGAAGGTCTTTATCTCAATGAAACTGCAACTGGCAAGAGGCAAAGACATTTAACAATACAAGGAGAGAAGACTTGTTTCCTCAGACCCATCCACCCATTACACTGAAACATCAGAGAAGAAAAACACCACTGCTATTAATTCCACAAACAACAGAAGTTCATGACATGAGTATGAATATGCATAGGAGAAGCTGAACCTGAAATTTTGAGCCCACACTGTTAAAAGAAACGTTTGAAAAATGTTTTCATTTCATTTATCTAGTTGCAGAAATAGTCAGAAGGACTGTATTCCATGGTATTAAATTCCACACATGATGTTAAAACCATGAGTTAAGCAGTGAAGGAACTCGGAAGAATAAAGCATGTCTTCACAGCTACTTTGGTGTTCATACAGGATTGCAACAGTCAAGACGTAGAAAAATCCATTAGACTCCATTCCTAGCCCAGGCCTGAAGAGCCTTCAGGTCCAGGATGAGCTATCTGTTAAATGGATGTTATGCTTGACCCAAACTGAGGCAACTGTCCATTTCTAGGACCTTTTTACCACATCACCTCTAACTACGAAACCAGTATTTCTCAAAGATCCCCTAACTTCAAAAGCAAATCTGTTGGATTTCCAAAGCTAACGTTACCTGAATATACTTCCTTTGAGTTTCATCGTTGAGAACGTGGGCTACGTGCTTGGAGAAAATCTTTTCACGACCTGTTCGAGCGTGGATGCCAACCATAGTGACACCAATAGGCCAGGGAGCATTTCCAATAGCCATCTGAAGATAGGCATCGTTTGCCTGAAGGAATACAGCGCAGGCACACTTAGCAAAAGAGGAAGGGCATCAGAAAGCATTTTTGCATTACCTGATACAGTAACAACGCATATTCCAGTCTCTCTGAATCAGGTTTCATTGCACAACATTAACCAATTTTACAACGCACCTTCCTAACACGATTCATGTTTATGCTGAACTCTGAGGGAACCAAGGACTATGGACTTTACCTGATGAAAAAAAGCACTGGATAAGGCAGCCTAATATTGATTAAAACTGAAGTTTACTGGGACTATTTTCAGCTCAGCCTTCTCAGGTTCCCATAAGCTTTTCTGCTGTAATCACCTTTACAACCCCTGCCGGGTTGGCCGCAGACTAGACCGGGGAGCCTGTCTGTAAGCGCAACCCACCGCAGACCCACGTCACGCGTGCAGAACTGCGGTCACCCTGTACACGGGAGTGCACAGGAGCCTGACAGCTCTTGGGGAGAGGAGCGGGCTTCCAATGAGGCTGAGATCCAGCTCTCTGCAAAACTGGGTTAAATAAGCACATTTGTAACAATGTTTACGAACAGAGCAGTAGCAGCAGTAAACGAATCTGAAATTTCCTGATCAAGATAGCAGATCCCGTTTCTTAACATAAAGCTGTAGCAGACAACATCCCTGGGGAAAAACAGTGATAAAACTTGAATGGAAAATGGAATAGAAAGGGAGAAAGGAAGAGAAGTGCAGAGCTTAAAAAACCCATGACAACTGAGAACCAGAAAGTGAGGGGGACAGACACATACACGCAATTACAGAAACACAGCTTCAAGAAGGACTTGGAGCAGGACGTTCCTCCACTGTTAGTGAGCAGCTACAAGACTCGCTGATAAAGAGTTCATTTATCACCTCCCATTTAGAGACTAATCAACAAGAAGTAGCCATCATGACCAGTGGGTGCACTTTCTGCCCATTTGGCAGCGAGCAAACTGGGAGGTAATTAATGCACAAGGCAGGGGGTTGCAGACAGAGCTGAGAGTAAACCTGAAGAAGGGTCTTCACCTACACGAGGCAGGATCCCAACAGTCTTAGTCAAATACCTACTTACTGACTTAAATATTGGTTTGTGATGAAATATTGTATGTGAGCATGCAATTAAAGACCCTTCCGGGACTGTCACAACAGGGTTAATGAAGGTTGAGCGGACAACTTGCATTCTGGCATTTGCCTACTGTTACATGCGGATGCCAAAATTCAAATCTTTCGAGCATTTCATCTAACAAACAGTAAGAATTTGTGGCTGACAGTATTCACTAGGCTGCACAAAGCAAAAAAGCACAGAAGACAACAGCAGGCAAAAAGAGTCAAGTCTCTTAGGAAGCAAAATGCAAAAGGATATAAGCCTTTAAAAGCAAAAGGCTCATTAGCCTAATTAAAAAAAAAAAAAAAAACCCAAAAACCAAAAAAAACCCCTTCCAAATGTGTACTCAACTCCTCCAAAATAACTCTGTGAAGTCTGCACAAAGCCAAGCACCTCCAGGAGAGAGGAGCACAGCGGATTAACCCACAAGACAGACCACATTCCTGCACACTCACCACTTTGTTTGAGAAGGCACTGGAAAGGGAATTTCAATGTGATGATAACCAAAAGAAAAAAAAATGCCCCCAAACAAAACCCCACTATCATACATCCCACACTTTCAGTTCTACTTTCAAATGATTTGGATTAAACTTGCCTTAGGCCATCTAAAGTTTTTTCAATAACAAAAGCAGGTTTGCCTGCTTACTTGACAAATTATCCCAAGTCCTCACAAGAATAGTAAGAAATACTAGAAGTTAAGGCAAAACATGGCTCAATTTCCTCTGCATACACAAGCTGCTTAAGCAAATGCTATCAGTATTTGAGTTCCACTTCTGAAGGCAGCTACAAACAAAACCTAACACCGCCTTTGATCTTGTGTGCCAAAGTACTTCTGCCTCCTCCAGTAAGCACGCTTTGTCCAAAAAATTTTTCATTAACTTACCTCAACCTTACCAGGCCAGCTAACGTGAGCATAGCCAAAGAAAGGGTCAGTGTCTCATATTCAATAACTCAGCTCACCTCAATTAATTCCTAATTAATTAACACCCTATTACTATTAATTCAATACCTTCGTTTAACCTTACAATATCAGGTTTCTCATACAGGATTCCTCTGCAACTTAATATAACCATCTCTGAGCAAAATTCTATTCGTGCTTGCAAAGCTCTGCTCTTTCACCAGCCTCAGAAGACCTTCTGACAGGCTGTGGATCAAACCTTTAAGAGCCATTTTTCATTTCGTTTGAATAGATGTTGTATTTCCAGCTTTGTACTTTCAATATGCAAAAAAATGGGAACGTTGAAGTAATAAACTCAATCTATTAGAACCAGACAGCCTGAGCATGACGGAAGAGTGCAAATAAACATACCTTCACATATTCTCTTTGCAACATGAATTTAATAATATCTGTTATTGATTCTTTGATGTCTGCAGGAAGTGTCTACAGAAGAAAAAAAAAAAAAAAGACGACATCTTTACTTCAGAATAGCAGCTCAGGAAAATCATCCTACTCAGCATTTATACAAAGTTTAGCACCTACCCTAGCTTGAGGACTTTAACAAAGGAAAACATCTTCGTTATTTAGATGAAGGATCTGAAGCAAGAGAGGTTAAGTGGTTACACCTAGTAGCCAGTGGCAAAGTGCAAAACACAATCCCAATTGTCTATCACGTTTGCAACCCAATAAACAGGTGATACATAAAGCAACACCTGGAAAAGCAGTGGGTAGGCAGAAAAATTCACTGGTCAAGATAAAAAAGTCAGAACGGGGAGTCATGGCCTCTGGACACAGAAACCCTGACCAACTCACTTCTCCTCTCTTCTTCAGTGAACATAACATTACCTTAGGAAAGGGCACTAACCACCGGGTACTTTGAAAGCAGAAGTTAAAATAAGTCTCACAGGATAGTGACATTTCAAAGTGATTCACCCTTTTCCGAAGTTTTCTGAAGAGTGGCCTCAGGTATGATTCTGTCTGCTTTTGAGTGGCACTGTTCAGCTTCCCCTGTACTCCCCGTTTCACATAGTCTTCTCTGGCATTCAGCTCCTTAGCCCAAACTCCAAGAAGAAACTGTATGAGGAACAAGCAAATTTATGTCATAGTGCCATCTAGTGACTTCCTTGGCAAAAAAGATGGGAACAGTGGTTTAAGCCACCGTGGCAAAATGAGTTTTTCGGAGAAATCTGAATTAAAAAGGCAAGAAGCCTCTTTCAGAAGGATAGGCAAGGTGGGACAGGAACAACCCTCCTATCATAAAAACATGTGGGTGAGGGCGGAACATGTATAAAAAGGCACGTACAAAAAAACCCCAAGGAAACAACAGTGTAGGTATCAGTGCTGGGAGGGAGAAGGGGTACACAAAAAGAGCAGACATCTAAGTAGAAGACGCTGATGCTTCAGGGCAATTTCTGCAAAGGAGCCTAAGGAACGGTGAAAATCACAGTGAAAATTCAACACACCAGAAGGCAAACGTGTCCAATGTACCTTCTCTCCACCTGGGAAACAATTTTTGAGCTTTCTTTGCCTGACTGCCCAGCCCAAACTATATTAAAACGCCAGCGTATCTTACAAACACAAATAAAAGCTTCGATTCTTGCCGTGACTTCTGATCATCACAACAGTTACACAGGGACCGCCTGACTCAAATGAGAGGCGATACAGGCTTCTTGCCAGGAAACAAGGAAACAATTTTCTACTATCCACTTGAACCTGTTTTCTTAGCAAAGCCAGCGGACTTCCTTTAAAATTCTCTTATTTCACATAACAGTACCAGGTGACATTTCATTTCAGCTCGCACTGTGCCCAGAGAAGGGAGGCAGGGACTCCTCGGAAGCCTTTAATGCCATAGTAGTACACAGAAGCAACTCCATACAACTGCCTCAATTATCATACAGAAATCAAAACCATATACATTCTGTCTGGAAAAGTAGGACCAGATTTTGAAGAACGCTGCTCGTCCAACAGCTCTTTCCCAGGTCTAGCAGAAGTCACTGTTGTGACTAACAAGGCTGTAGAGTGCCAAGCATTTAAATAAACACACATCTTAAGCATAATGTGTGAGTTTCTCTCTCCAAGCAGCTGAAACCGCCCCTTCTATTCACAAAATGTATCTGCATCACAGTAAAAAAATATGACACAGCTGCAGAATAATTAATCTATTAGAGTTTGTTACCTTCAAGAACTTCGTTATGATGTCCATATCATAGTGATCATCACCCCGTCCTAAGGATTCTCCCAAAGCCTAGAACAGGAAAAAACAGGCAATTATTTCCAGGTTGTCTAGAAGTTTACCACCACCACTACAGCAGAGAACGATTGACTGCATCGTGAACGGTAATAAACTCCACCAGTAATCCAAAACACTAGTTAGGAAATGGAATGAAACAGCTATATATGCTACTGAGATTCATTAATCTATTAAAAACATTTAAGTCAAAAAGCCAATATGATTATTTCTGAAAAGTCAATGCAACAGTAATTTTTCATTCATTAACTACTAAATTATTGGCTAATTAGCAGCTGTCTGACAGCACTGTATTCAGGGGAACTGTGGGTGCACTTCATTTTTTGAGATCCCCAAAGCCACGAATTAACCTAATTATTTTGTTAAGATATTTCAATTCTCTGATATACTGGAGCTTTTTACCATTTCATTTAATTGTAACTGTGAAATTGAGGGAACAAATCTAAAAAAAAAAAAAGAAAACCACCAAAAAACCCCAGTAGTATGCTCCAGTACTCTAGCCTCCTGCCAAAACTTTGAAACTATTAATATTAACAGCAATTTTTAGAAACATTTTCCAGTAGGTATAGTTGGATTTATAATCTATTTCCATTGCCCTCACATTTCTAAAGTGAATTTTATTTAAAAAATCTCCTAGATTTGGAACCCAATTCAGTGCAAGCCTTTATGCTCAAGGGAATGCAGTTAAAGTAGCATAAAATTAAGACTGCAGTGTTTTCAAACTTTTCAGAAAGAAGATGACTTTCATGGCTCAAACCAAGCCTGCCCTACTACCCCAAAAAGGGGGTATTTTGAGAACTAACAGCAGTCCCATTACAATCAGTACCCATTCTGGTACTAGAGTTATTTTAAACCAGAACCCCTGGTACCCTAAGAAAAAAGCCAAAGACTATCTCCTAATAATAACGTATTTGTTTAAGCTTTCAGTTATAAATCAGATTATTTCTTAAACACACTTTTGGAGGGATGTTATGAAGATTAACTCCCGCAAAGAGTTTTGAAGATTAAGGCTAAAAGTCTTCAGCTCAAGTTAATGTGCTTTTCAAACCATTACCCTAAAATACTGGGTGCTGAATGCACTCATTCTCCGCTCACTTACACAAACACCATGGTACTCTTTCAGAACGTAACAGTCATTTGCACTGAAGTTTCTGGGACACATCGTCTCTGCACTTCTTATATTTCCTGTGATCTGCCTGCTTCTGATGTCCACTTCTTTTTTTATCCTGGATGTTTTTATTTCAAACATTCCTTCTGTGTGTCTATTTTTCAGAGTCCATCTTTCTTATATAGAGAAAATTCATTGGTACTAAGCTTATTACCCTCCAAATACTCATTGGAAAGGCTTTAGAGTTTATGACCAGGTAATGTATTTTTATTAAATTCTCTACTTCCAATCCCCCGGCAGAGGGAATCCTAACTGTATCACCTTCCTCGCAGTCAACTCCTGCCCCCTTTTTGATGAGGTCTGGTAAACAAAGACCACTTGAGTTTTCACACGTCTACCGTAGGCACCTATGGTGCAACTCCAGGCTTAAAAATCTGAATTTCCTAATAGAGTGTATTTAAAGATACTTCAGAATGCCTAAGCTAGATGTTGAAAACAAGATAACTTTGTCTAAACAATCCTGAAGCTTTCTCACAACAATACAGTGCATCTAAAATCCCTTCATTAAAATCTATCCATCACTCACTTCTAGTTCTTCAATAGTAGTATTCTCCTCATGGACTTTCAAGTCATTCTGTGAGTCATCGTCTCCTGCTTCTTGGCCGCCTACAATTTCGTTCAGATACTGCTGGTCAATCTTATCCAAAGCAGCCTTCAGGTCATTTCTCAGGCCCTGGAAAAGATAAGAAATGACTAATTTACCAAAAAAACTCAAGTAAATAAAAGCAGTTCAGTACTGACACTGTGAGCATCCAACTTCTGTTTAAGAAAAGCCAAATTCTGTAAAAACATGCATAAGGGTTTAGCCTTGTTGTCTGAATTTAAACTGAATTCAAAGAAGAGTTTCTGGATTGCTTCAGCACTTAACAAAAAACAGGTGCATGAACTTCTGCAACGTTCGTTCCTACGAAAAAGACTTTTTACCATATTTTCACCAGAAAAGCATGGAGGACTAAATCAACTTCTAGGACTTTCTTCAAGACATTTTCTCCAAGCAATGCACTGAACCACCCAAAAACAAACAGAAAACAGACCACAACCATCATCAGCTCTACAAGTCTTCACATTTGCCCTGAAAAAAGCTGTAAATAAGGTAAGTAATGCTCCTTTGGTACTATCACATAAAACATTTATGTAGTTTCCCTTTATTACCAATGACTTAAACATAGCAGAATGTTTTATATAGATTAAGTGTTTAAAATCCCCTACTCTAGAATAGGTGACTATAAAAAAAATCAGAATCAGTTTGAGACCACCTACATAAACTTAAGAGCTGCTTTCAAACAGAACAAGAAACTCTGCTTAGTCACAGTTAGAGGACTTGCGTTCTGATCTTGAGACATAAAATATAAAGCTCTGTAAAGGAGTATGACATTTCTTACCCTAAGATAAATTCAGCCACTCCACTGGGAACAGACATGCACAGTTATTTCCCCTCTTCCAACATCATACTTGACTGTCTGGAACATTTCTATTAATCATTTAGTAGTCTAAAAATGTCTGAACCACAAACTGGTTATAGTGACTATCTACATTTTAAGCAACACATAGCAACAGGAGCGACTGAAACACATAACACAAAAGTCCAACACAATCCTATTTATGAGCTCACTATTTCCTAATACTCCTACTACTGTCATCACTGCCACTGGAGGGGAAGCTTTCATTAGCAGAATTATTTTTTTTAAACGTTTAGATCTGTTCATCTTTTTTTTAAACGACTTGAACAGGAAAAGGCTTTCCTTTTCTGGGCAGCCCCAGCAAAGACATTTCAAACAATTCAGTTTGCCACAAATTAGGGAAGAAAATCCAAACCTGGATTGCATCTCCTCACTTAACTGATCAATTCTTAAGACAAAAGGAATAAATCAGTAACTATTATATATCTTTTAGGTTTTTTTGGAATCAACGGCTACTTTAAAGGCAAGGGGGGAAAATCAAGTTTCCCTAACAAGTTATAGCTCTGGAATCAAATGATTTGAAAAATCATTTACATACCAGAAAGACAGGACGCAATCCTCCTCTGTCTTACCCATACCTTCTCAGAGATGCATATAATTGCAAACGTAGGTTAGTTTTAACAGTAAATAACTGTCTTCCCTGCTGGTTAAAAAGCAGGTAACAGCACAGGCTGGGGAATTACTGCCACCTGGAGGCCCCTTTTTCAACTGAAAAGGCCTAGAAGGCTTCTAGGGTTGAACTGTCTAAGATGAGGAATTGTAATTGTGCACGGAACTATGACACTTAACATACTTTCTCAGACAATAAATGAGACAGAGCAGGTATTTCTCTTTGCTCTGTACTACCCCTCCCTACTAAAAAATTAACAGTTAGTGTATTCCCACTACAAATAAGTAACTAGTTACTATCCACTCTTACCTTGTTCACTTCAGGTGCAAGAATTTCTATCTTCCTCAGACGTTGAAATGCATCATAATCTGTTTCTCCAAACAGTCTGATTGGCTCACCTCTCTCTCGTAACCTCCTGATAACCTGCAAAGAATCAAAGCATTGCCTTACGCAAACTCCTAAAGGAAGCAAAATGAAATCCAGAAAGACGGATTTATTTACTTTGCTTAGAATAACAAGCTGAGCTAGACTGGAGAGGAAATGGCAATATTTTAAGCAGTAGAAAAATGTTCCAGACACTTCACAATCTAAATATAAAACTTCCACGGTATTTCAGTGAAAGGTCATTCCAAATATTACCAATCTAAATTTTGCATAAAATCCCAAGCTGTTAGGTATAGCCAAACTTATTCCTGCTCTGACTTGTTTAAACAAATACACAAAAATCATCCCTCTGGCAGAGCTTAAAAACCGTTTTCAAAATCACAAAGGAACTTTACAATAATCTCACTCACCTACTTGTCTAGGGCAATAAAAATACTCTCTAACGAGGCTGCAGGTTGTCCTAGCACATCTGCAAGACGATTTGCTGAAAATTCTCATCCTTAAGCATTTGGCAAATACCAAGTCCCATAATCTAATGAGATAGTTACTTTAAAAGTAGATATAACAGAGGCGAAAAAGCCTCCCTCAATTGATTAGCAAAGTCATGGGCAGAGCCAAAAACTGAACTTTATTCTCCCAACTCCTTATCTCATGCATTGCTTGCTAAATCTCTTTCTACTTACCATTATTCATGTAGTGTACCAAGCAACAGGCTTATTGATACACGAATCACCCCGCAATACTTCGGTGACCAAGAGAAGGGCTTACACTTCATTTCGTGCTACCACTTTGTGATACCAATAGACTGGCTGGACAACAAGAAACTAAATTAACTGAGGCCTTAATTCGTTTATCCAGTTCAAGTGTCTTGCTGTATGTTGGCAACCATTTGACTTGCGAATGTATCACAAAACCAGGGGTGGACAGAGTGCTGGCACAGCAATGCCTAAACCTCGACCAAAGCATGCACCCGAGTAGATCAACAGCAGCGAGACACTGCGCATTACACCCGACATACAGACCAAACCTCAAACCAAACGTGAATCCAACAGCCCACATTACAAGTCCTGTGATATACTCCCACAAAAAACAGTAAGTATCTTGCAAAATTAAGGGGACATGTGACATCCTTGGATGATCTCAGCTGTGAATTTCAGTATTTCCAAGATTAGAATTTATTCTGTACTTCTGAACTTCCTGTTTCTCTTCTGCTTTGGGGTATAGATCTGTTTGTGAACTCATATTCACATAGGTATTTTTATCCTTCGAAAGGACAAAGAACACACCAGCTGCTCTGGCTTCAGGACTTTTTTCTTCTAGAAATCAAGGTGAACTTCCCAAACTTAGTTTCTAAATTTGGGTTCAGACCAATGAGCTACAAAGAAAAGAAGCTGGGGGAAAAAAATCTTGGAAAAAAAATCAGCATGCCATCTTCAGTATTATCCAAGGATAATACTGATATTCAGGGTACTATTCTAGAAGTCATCTGAAAGAGCTGTCAAATGTTATAGCGCATCTGTGCAAATCCGTATGACAAAGAGGCTCTACCCATCTGTACCTCCCTATGCATCCAATTGGACAGCAAATCTTTGATGAGTGAAGACGATCATTAATTGCTGACCATAAAAATGAAGGCTTATTATTTAATACAAACCGTCATAAAAAGAACAGTTCACTAGAAAAAAAACAGCCCTAACAAGAAATTTCAGAGGCATTTGCTGTAAACTCAAGCAGTCTGTTTATGATGATTGATTTTACCTCCTGTCTGGAAAGGGTCATTGGTAACTTTTCTTCTGCCAGTTCAAGTTCCAGCACTGGATTTGATGAAGTCAGTGGTTTCTCCTCCTCTTCCTCCTGCTGCACCTACATTCAACAGACGTAGTTACTAATGTGCTGATGGAAATAAACCCATATATTGAGAGCAATGTAAAGATACAGAACTCTGGAACACAGATTTTAATACGACAATATAAGCCTTTAGTTTGATAGTTTTTATTGTCTATAATTGAATTTCACAGAACAATAAAAGCTTTTAAAACTATCAGTATTTAACTAACACTTCTGCAGGTTGCAGGAAGCAGTCTCTACAGCAAATGGAAAAGACAATTGTTAAAGTCTGGCAATCACTTTAGCAGGCAGGTGTCAGCACTGCTGCCAAAAATAGCAAATCCACCCTCTGCCTGTTGATTCCTGCCCCTGCTCTATCCTCCTCACCCACATAAAAGCATTTGCATCGCTATGTGATGAACCAGATGGGGGAAATGATTCAAACAGAAAATAATCTGGCAAACACAAAGAAAGGTACCCTTCCCAGCCCAATTAACCTCCTCATCCAGCTCACCAGGCGTAGCACATGCATGGACACAAGGGCAGAAACAAAAACCCAAAGGCAGGGACACAGCGGGGCTGCTTCTTTCGGTGGCAGTGTAAGCTTAAAATGTTTATTACCTACAGCTTCAGTGACCTGAGTACAATTAGCAGTGATCCATGGTTCCTGCTGGGTTTTGAGAGGTGCTCATTTAAGATAATGCATCTTTCTCACAAGCTTGCCATAGTTTCTTGCAGGTTGAAAAAAACCTACAAAAACCTACAACTCCTCATAAGGATGGGATCTCATTAACTACTCCTCTTAATCTACAAGAAGGTCCCGGAATCAAACAGAGCTTCCCTTCTTCATTACTCAGTATTTTAATAATGCAAAACAACTCTTTGATCAAGGTAACTTTGAGATGGCAGTCATGTAACTACAGTTCCCTTTATAAGCTCAAATTTGACACTTCTGACAGCACGAGCAGATTGCTGTTGGTAATATTCCTATAATAAGGAAGCATTTCCAGTACTTACATCCTGTTTTTTTCCCCTAGATTCCTTATTAGAATTCATTTCCTTTCCATTCTTGCTGAAAGGGAAATGCTCCACTTAATCCTACAGCACCCTGTAGCATTCTCCATGCGTGGGCAGTACATTGTCATTTCCAGTCTGTGTTCGGGTTGATCAGTTTGATGAATGTACTGGACAGATATTTTAAAGAAGCTTTTCTATTCTTTCAAGTCAATGTGCCAGTCTCGCATTCCAGTATCAGTCTGACTCCATGTGGATGTAAGGATCCACCTCTGTGGCTCGAGCTAGAGGATTCAGCCACAAATCTATATTCAGTGCTATACTAGCAAACACAGAAATCAATCCTGTAACCACAGGTGTTTGGAACGAGCAAGGGAAGGACAACCATATCAATGCTTAACACATAAAGGGAGGGGAAAAATAAAACTTCCATCGATGCAGGAAAGGGGGAATTGACAGGGGACAGAAAATACGGAAGAACTATGTAAATATATATATATATATATATATATATATATATATATATATATATATAAAGAAATACACTCCCATGGCAGAAGGATACGTACAAATTTTAACTTACAAACATTCTTGAAATCATAAACAGACAGCAGCATTGGGGGAAAAGATTTGATCCGTTCTGTCAGCTGGACTCCAAGTTACAAGCAATATCTTTACCACAGTTATTTTGGTTTCAGTGCTTTCTTTTTCAAGCAAGTCAAATTATTACAACTTATTAAGTCTAAGCAAAGCAAAACGCACCTGAATTTAAAAAGAAATCAGTCTATATTCTACATCTTATTAACATAGTAAAGATCAAATGCAGAAATCTGGGAGGCTCTAAAAAGGTACTAAATTTAAAGAAGCAACTTATTTTAAAACCGTTTTCAGGGTCACATTTCAAACCAAAACTGGTGCTGCAGCAACACAGATAACGGCATTTTAACCGCCACGTAAGGTTCTGAAGAACTCAAGCTCATGCTCAAAAAGCACCACGTAGTCATTGCCACTTGGAAGAGCGACTGGATTCACAGAACACTTTCTCATGACTATATGCTGCATGTGCCAAGAATCGTCTTGGCACTGACGTTCAAATATTCTACAAACAGATCAAGGTTTCAGAATAAGTCACTAACTGGGTAAAGTTCAATTGAAAACAAAGCTCCTATTTGTGCCCAGTAACAGCAAACAAGAGTAGGAGCCTCTACCTTCCACAAGGGAACGCAGACCCCCTCCTATACACGTATCATCAGGCAGGCAGGCAGACGCACACACTTGTAAAAGAAAACAACGTTCTTTCCATTTCAGTAAACTATTTCCCCGACACTGTTACAAGGCAGATAAAGCCTTCCAGATCACTCATTTGTTCCAAAATGCACCCAGGGTTACCAATTGTTTTCTAATACTTTGCCAGCAAGAAAATAAATGCTGTTGTTGCACTCTTTCAATGCTGGATGGTTGATGGCCAAAAACCAAATACAAATATATATAGTATGAAAGTCGGCAGATCTTTTTAATATGCACCCACATTATACTGATTTCTTTTGGACATTTTGACAAGATTGTGAAAATTATCTGAATGGATAAAATTATCCAAATGTATCTAATTTTTTCCAG